ATTTTTTTTTTTTTTTTTTTTTTTTTTTTTTATTAAGAATTAATATATAACAATAATTATGTATAATTTGTAGATGGTAAAATAATTGAATTTATATATGCTTATATAACATACAATTATTTTATAATAAATTATGAAAAAAAAAAAAAATAAAATAAAATAAAATAAAATAATAAATTATAATTACATAAACATATAAATTATTCAAAATATAAATATATTGATATAGTTAATTTTATTATTATTATTTTTTTTTTTATTATTTATTCAAATATTATTTTTCATTTTTTTATGTATTATATATATTTTAACTAAAAGTTTTTATTTTTGTTCTTTTTTTATAATTTTTTATTGTAATAAATATATTAGTATATATAAGTTTATTTATATTTATATATACTTTCTTTTTTTTTTTTTAAATGCAAAGTGATATAGTTTTTAAAAAAGATATATCTGAATATAATAAAGACATGATGAATGGTATTCATAATGTATCATCTTGTAATGTATCAGTATATATAGAAAAGAGTCTTGATAATATTAAAAAGGTAAATTACGACGAAAAAATAAAAAAATACAATAAAAATAATTATAATAGCACTTGTAATAATTTATCTGAATCAAATAAATTATCAACAAAAAGATACAATTCTAATATTTCATCTCATTCCCCAATTATGTTAAATAACTCAGTAAATCACAAAAATTATAAGCAATTTCAAAAAAAATCTTATGTGAATATGAATAGTGAAGATTTTAGATTTAAAGAATCAATAAATAAGTATATTGATGATAACAATTCAAAGAATATTATAGAAATAAATAATACTAACCATGTCATTTCTTCTTCTAACTCAGAAAACATTCCATATAATAATATAAAAAATATAAATTATCCAAAAAAAAATAATAGTAATATTATAAGTAATGGTAGTAATAATTTAGATAAAAATTATTATGTAAAAAACAGTACAAGAATTAATAATACATCATCTAATCAAACAAGTTATGACTCTAAAAATGAAAATAATCAGAATTATTTTGATATATCATTAGAAAATTCTAATAATGATAATGTGAATGTCACTACAATGGATACAAACAATTTTGTTCTTTCTAAGTCATCTAATGAAAATAACATAAATGAATTGGTAATAAGTAGTAATATAACAGAAAGCAATGAAAATAATATTCATAATAATAATACATTTTTAAATAATACTAATAAAAACTCCAATAACTTTTATAGCACTCTAACAAATTATGATAATAGAAATAATAGTAATTGCAAGAATAATAGTAATAATCAGATTAGTAATAATAATAATTATATTAATAATAATAATAACTATATTAATAATAATAGTAATAATAACAGTTATATTAATAATAATAATATTAACAACAATAAAAATATTTACAATAATAATAGTACTAATTGTAATAATGCTACTTCATCAAAAAATAATCCTTCACAAAACAATATACCTACAGTTGGATTTATGAATGTAAAAGGAAATGTAAAAAGTTCTGTATTGAATAATAAAAATAATAAAAATAATGGTAATCGTATTGTTAAAAATTCAAATTCATTAAAAAATGAAAATGTTCATGATATAAAAAATATAGAACCAAAATGTAACACAAAAAATAATGAAAATAAAAGTACAGAGAATAAATGTAGCAATGATATTAAAAGTAATGAAAAAAAAAATAATAGTAATAATAGCAATAAGTGTAGTAATAATAACAATAACAACAATAGTAATAATGCTAATGATGATATTATTAATATTAACAATAATAATTATAATGATAATAATAATAATAATAGTAATACTATCAATAATGACAATATGAATAATAACCATGAAAATAATAATTATAATGATGATAATAATAATAACATTAATACTAATAATAATGACAATATGAATAATAACCATGAAAATAATAATTATAATGATGATAATAATAACAAAAATACTAATAATAATGACAATAAGAATAACAACCATGAAAATAATAATTATAATGAAAATAACAATGAAAATAATAATAAGAATAATAATGAAAATACTAATAGTAATAGTAATACTAATAATAATGACAGTAACAATGAAAATAATAATATGAATACTACTACTACTAATAATAATAGTAATACTAATAATAATGACAATAAGAATAAAAATGAAAATAATAATAATAATAATAATGAAAATAATAATAATAATAATAATAATAATGAAAATAATAATGAAAATAATAATAATAATAATAATGAAAATAATAATAATAATAATAATAACAATAGCAATAATAATAATAATAACAATAGCAATAATAATAATAATAACAATAGCAATAATAATAATAATAACAACAACAACAACAACAATAATAATAATAATAATAATAATAATAATAATAATAATAATAATAATAATAATAATAATAATAATAATAATAATAATAATAATAACAATAGCAATAATAATAATAATAATAACAACAATAATAATAATAATAATAATGAAAATAATAATGACAATAATAATGAAAATAATAATGACAATAACAATGAAAATAATAATGACAATAACAATGATAATAATAATATGAATACTACTACTACTAATAATAATAGTAATACTAATAATAATGACAATAAGAATAACAATGAAAATAATAATAATAATAATAATAATAATAATAATAATAATAATAATGAAAATAATAATAATAACAAAAATAATGAAAATAATAATAATAATGAAAATAATAATAAGAATAATAACAATGAAAATAATAATAGTAACAAAAATAATGAAAATAATAATAATAATGAAAATAATAATAAGAATAATAATAATAATAATAAAGAAATAGAAAAGAAAGAAAATGATAATAAAGATAAAAAGGATAAAGAAGAATCTAAAAAATTAATTAGTAAAGATACACTGAATAAAAATGCATCCAATAACAATGAATCACAAAATTCAATTAATAAAGGGCATTCTTCATCAGTCAATTCATTTAATAATTCTTCTTTAAGTTCTTTAAATGCAAATGCTCCTGAGTTTGTCCCATCTTCAAAAAATATACAAAATAATCTTCCTTTTAACAATATAATGTGGAATAGTTATTATCAGGATATACATACTACACCTTTTAGTAATGTACAAAGTAATAATATTATAAATAACATGACATCACAAGATAATAGTAGCATTTTGAATCCCAATTCTTTAATAAATCCTGTTATTAATGGAATTAGTACCTCATCAAATAACTTAATGAATATGGCTAATTCCAATATTTCTACATCAAATAATGTAAATGTTTCTAATAATACAAGTGGAATTATAAATTCGTCTAATAGTATTAATAATTTAGATAATGAAAACACTAAAAATAGTAATAACAATAATAGTAGTAATAATAATAATAACTCTGTAAACAATCCAAAGCAAACAAATAATCATGAAAATAATGGTAATAATGCCACTAATTCCACAAATATACATACATCTTCTATTCCTGTATCAACAAGTGGAACATCTTCACAAACTAATTTTTTAAATCCAAATATGATTTCAGGAATGAATAATTTAAGATCCAATAATTTTATGAACAATTCAGGTGGAAATATTATAAATAGTTCAGAAAATTCAGCACCATTTCATCATATGGATGCACACGCACACCCAAATTTTCAACCAAATAGTTCATTACTTCATCATCATCATAATTTTTATGTAAATCATCCATATTTAATAAATAGCCATCCAAATGGATTACCAACTCCTCAAACAATATTTGCCCCTTTATCATATGGCAATTCTTTAGCATCAGGTAATGTTCATCATGATATTCCTTTTCCTCAACCCCCTTCTGTATATGGATCATTTGCTAATAATCCTAACCTTATAGGAAATAATAGTCTTCCTTCCCAAAAAAATAGTGCTTTAAATGTTAATCCATATAATTTTTTGTCTTGTACTATTCCATCCCCACCACAGATACAACATAATACACCTTTAAATATGAGTTCATTAGATCCCCATTTCATTGCAAACTCAGCTAATACACATATAAAAATTCCATATAGTCATGTAAATCAACCTAACAGAAGAAATCTTTTTAATCATTTTAATAATGCAAATTTGCATAATGGAAACAGCATAAATGATAACAATTTTGAACATAATAGTAATAATATGAACTCAGTTATTACTGGAAATTTAAATTATAACTTTAATAGCTTTAATGCTAATCAAAACAATAATATTCATATAAATAATGATAGTAATACTTTACATTTAAATTCAGGAGTAGGAGGAAATATAGCATTAAATAATAGTGCGAATGTTTTGTGTTTAAACAATCCACTACATATTAATAATTCAACAAATGTAGCACATCATCACATGAACAATATAAATAATAATTTGCATTTAAGTAACATTCATATGAATCATAGCTTACTTATGAATAATAATATGAATAAACAAAAAAGAAATAATTCTTATAATGAAAGAAATAAACCATATAATTACAGAGATAATAAAAATACGTTAAAAAATAACATACTAAATTTAAATGGTACCATGAATAATTATAGTCATTATAATATGAGGCATGATAATAAAAAGCACAATAGATATAATTCTTTGAATAATGCAAATAATAATTTTAATTCTAATTATAATTTAAATAACAATAATTTGAATAATGTTTCAAATAATTCCAAAACTGTATATAATAGTCACAGTAAAAATATGAAACAAGAAAATTATAATAGAGATGATAACAATTGTTCAGTGAATTATTATCAAAGAAATAATACTACTAATGCTAATAATAATAACATGAATAATAACAATAATACTAATAATTCTAATTCTACTACTGCAGACAATAATAATAATAATGTTAGTATTCCATTAAAAGAAGTTAACATAGATATGAAAGATATGGACGATAATTTTAATGAAAATGCTGCATGTAACAATGATATATCATATTCATACAAAGGAAAAAATTACAATTTAAATAACTCCAATTTAAAAAATAAAAATGGTAATATTGTGAATAATAATTTAAATATGCAAAACGAAGTTTCTAACGAAAAACGATCATGTAATAAAAATGATAAAAATAATAAAGACGATTTTAAAGCAAATCGAAATTATGTTAATAATAAAATGAATGAAGAAAAAAATATAACTAGTGTTAAGAGGGAATTAACAAAAGATAAGAGTGGTAAACAACCTGATCAATTTCATAAAAAAAATTATTCTGAAATAAATAATTCTAGTAATAATAAACAACAAAATAATTTTGTTAGTAATAAATATCAAAACAATGTTGAAAAAAGAGGAAGTGTAAGAAATGTTGATAATAATAAAATAAGTGATAAAAAAATTAAAAATGAAGATGATAAGAAATTCAAGGATAAGAGTAACTTATTAAATACCGATTCTGTTAATTTAAATAACATGAATATTAATAATATTCCAAATAATGATGAAAATTTAAATAAAAATACAAATGATGTAATCAGTGTTGATAATAGTTTTGTAAACAATAATAATAATAATAATTTTAATAATAATATGATAAATAATAAAAATATGAATTATAATAATTTAAAAAATCTTAAAAATTATGATAAAAAAAATATGGAATTTTCTTCATGGGTAAAAATTGCCAAGATGAATCCTAATAAAAAAAAAGAAAAAAATAGTTTAAGCATTCCGTATAACAATGTAAATAATTCTAGCATTAGTTCTTCAAATCTTAATAATAAAAATAATGATAATAATTCTAATCTTAATGTAACTAATTTACACAAAAGCAATTACCATATAGATTCCAGTAATAATGATAACAATAATGAAAAATCTAATATTCAAACCTCTAAAATAAATAGCGATAATATATGTAATCAGAACAGTGATTTAACTTTCCAAAAAAGTCAACCAGATATAAATACTTCCAATTCTAACTCTAATACAATTATAAAAGAAAACAAAAAAAAAAATGAAGAAGAAGAAAAAGAAAGAGAAAAGGGGTCAAGCAAAGAAAAAGACACAAGCTACAAAAATAGCAAAAAATCAAGTGAAGACAAAATAGATGTAAATGCAAAAAATAAAAAAACGAGTTATTCAACTAATAAAAATTTTACCGATAAGGAAAATAAAGAGAAATTAAAAACAAAATATGATAATAATAAAAAGAATGAAATGAATGAAAGGAAAAGTAATAATGCAGTGAATACTTTTTCACATAGGCAAAGAGAGAAATTAAAAATTCAAAATGTAGAAATAAAACAAATTAATGAAAAAATTATGAATATTAATACAAAAAATGATGACTCTAGAAGTATGAATAAAATAACTGAAAATGAAAATTCAGATATTTCCAAAAAAAATAACGGAAAGGTAGCAAATGAAGTTAAAAGGGATTCTAATAAATTGTATGTTGATGATAATAATGGAAATTTTGAAAAACCAAATGATTTAGGAGAAGATTACATGAGTAAAAATGAAATGGAATACAGTGATAGTGTTATTAATATGAGGAAAGACAAAAATACTAATATATCATCAAATAGTATAAAAAGTGAATCTGTTAGAAATAAAGAAAATCAAAAAGAATTCTATAATTTTACAGTAGGTGAAAACAAAACAAACAAAACCAATCCTGATAATGTAACAAAAAAAAATAATGTAATTACAAACAAAGATAGTTATAAATATTTAAGTACAAATGATTTGAACGTTTCTAATATTAATGATAGATCGTCATCTTCTTATTCTAATTCTAATTCTAACTCAAAAAATTTTATGTGGGAAGGAAAAATTTCTTTTGCTGAAATGGCCAAAAGAAAACCAAAGAAAGAATCTAAAGAATCGAAATCAGAATCAGTATTAAATGAAAAAAAAAATAATAATAATTCGAATAAAACAGATAAAATCTCAAAAAGAGATAATAAATATACTTCTAACACTACAATAAATGATAAAACCGCTAATAAAGGAGATAATGCTAGTTTAAGTAAAGAGAATAAAGATATAAAAAAGAAAGGTGAAGTTAAAGAAGATATGGCAAAATCATGCAATAATAATAATTTAGTTAAAAAAGAAAACAAAAATGAAATGGTAAAAATAGATGATAGAGAAAAAGAGAAAAATATGTTCGATAATTTAGAAGCAAAAGAGAATAAAGAAAAATTGTGTAATGAAAAAGTGGAATCTTCAGATGGTATTTCAGTTGTTACTGATATTAAAAAAAAAAATGATAAATTAAAGGAAAATTATAATGATATAGAAAGAAAAGATAAGAGTGAAATAAAATCAGAAAAAGAATTAGATGGAACTTATTCAGATCAGGTTAATAATAAGAAAATATGTAATAATGAAAAGAATAACTTGAATGATGCAAATCAAATAGTAGTAGATAAAGACAAAATAAATAATAATAGTAAGAATCAAGAATTATTAGATGAAAAGAATATAGTTGATGTAAGCAATACTTCAACACATATTACTAATGAAGATAATTTAACTAATGTAAAAAAAATTAATGAAAAAGATAGAGAAATCATAGATTATGCAACTAAAGATATTGAGAAAGCGGATGAAAGTTCTAAAAAAAAGAAAAAAAAGAAAAAAGTTGAAAATGAAGAAGAATGTAAATTGATGGAAGAATATAAAGATGAAGAAGTACAAAATAAAACTATTATTAAGGAAGAAAATATGCAAGAAAATGAAAGCATAAATGAAAATATTTCTTTAAATAATAAAATAAATTTATCTAAAAGTTCAAAGGAAAATAAAAATGATGCAGTAAGAATTAAGGAATTAAGTGAAGAGACAAATACTTCTAGTAATATCGATGATTTAAAAATAAAAAATCATTCTATAAAAGAAGGAAGTAAATTGATAGAAAAAAGAGAAATAGATTCATGCAAAAAAAATATTAATAACTGTATTGATGTGAAAAAAGAAAATATTAATAAAAATTTAAAAGAGAATAATAAATTTTATAATGAAGAAGATATAAAAGTCTCTGCTTCTAATAATGAAGAAACTATGAAAACAAAATCAAATGAAGATATGTTAAATGTAGAAAATGAGGAAAACAAAAAGAAAAAAAAAAATACATTAACAGAAGAAAAAAAAAGAGAATGTGATAAATACAATGAAGATACAAAAACAGAAAAAGAAAAGGTGAAAGAAGAGGAATTAAAACTTCATAAAAAGAATTTAGAAGATATTTGTTACAAAGAACAAAATGAAGAAAACAAGAAAAATTTATTAAACGATACAACGAAAAAAAGTAATAATGTTGAAACTAATATAGATAAAAAGGAAAATATAAAACTTTATAATTCATCTAAAATAAGTACAAAGGATAAGACTTGTATTAATAATAATGTAACAGATGATTTTAAAAATAATGTTTTAATTAATGAAGTATCAAATAACAATAAAAAAGTAATATGCGAAGAAGAAGAAGAAAATATCAAATTATATCACAAAGAGAACTTTAATAAAGAGAATAAAGGATCAAAAGAAGAAAACGCAGAGGACGAATTATTGGAATCGTTAGAAAAACAAGTAAATAACTTAGAAAAAATGAGAGAAAATGAAAAATTAAAAGAAGATAAAATAAAAGAAGAAAAACAATTAGAAAAGAAAAAAAAAATTGAAAAATTATATAAAGAAAAAGTATACACAAAAATAGATTTATTAGAGATTTATTTAGGTCATAATTGGAATATTGGTGATGATAAATTTAATTTTGTTTTATCTCAAGGTTCAAATAGTGAAATGGATTACAATAGTAATAATAATAATAATACTATTAATAATAATAATACTAATACTATTATTAATAATAATAATGATAATGATAATGATAATGATATTTATATTAATAATAATGATAATAATAATATTAATAATAATGATAAAACTAATAATAATATTTATAATAATAATAATAATAATTATAATAATAATATTAATGCTAATAATATTAATAATAATGATGATAATAATAATGATCTTAATAATAATATAAATGATTTTAAAAATATGAATGTATATAACAAAAGATATAATTCATGTTATACTAATAATACTAATAATAACATTAATAGTGTTAATAGTAATAATGTCATTATTAATAACAATACTAATAACAATAATAATAATAATATGATTAACAACAATAATAATAAACAAACACAAGCAAATCAAGGCACAAATAATAAAAATATAGAAGATGATTGGAGAAGTTCTATGTCTAAAAATATTATGAATAATTTATTTATAAACAATAATCAAAATAATAATTTCTTTAATAATAATATGCTTGCTGGAAATACTATATATGATCAGAATTTACAAAATAATAATTTAATGAAAAACACAACTAACTTAGAATGGAGAAAAAGTGATGGAGATAAATTAAAAGGATTTTTTGATTCTACTAGAGTTGTTGAATCTGCTGATCCATGGAGAAATAATAATGCTCCACCAACTAAAACAATTGCAGAAAATAGTTGGATTCTTAAACAGAATCAATTAAAAGCAGATAAATATACATGTATGATGCGTAAATTAAGAGGTATATTAAATAAATTAACTTTTGAAAAATTTGATTTATTATATGAGCAAATTATTCTTGTTGGCATAACTAAATTAGAAGAAATTGTTGGTTTAATGAAATTAGTTTTTGAAAAAGCTGTTACTCAACATCATTTTGTTCAAATGTATGTTCAATTGTGTAAAAAGTTGAATGTTCATTTTCACAATATGAAATTAGAAGATGATACAACAGTTCAATTTAAAAAGATATTAATTAATCAATGTCAAGATTCTTTTGAAAATAATTTAAAACCAATAGAATATCCTAGTAATTTAAATGAAGAAGAAAAATTTGAATTTGAACAGATGCATAAAAATAAAGTTAGAGGTAATATGCTTTTTGTTGGCGAATTAGTTAAATCTGGTATTATATCTATACCTATTGTTTTTGTATGCATTAAACAATTATTAGAGAAAAGAGAAAGTTTTATAGCATTAAAGAATGATACAAATGAAGGAAACTTACATTTAGAAGCATTATGTATGTTTTTGAATACAGTTGGAGAAATTTTAGATACTCACGAAAAAGCAAATCAAGAAAAAGTAAAAGAATTATACAATACATTGAATGAATTAGTTAATAATGAAAAAATTACATTTCGTGTTAGATGTCTTATTAAAGATGTTATTGATAATAGAAATGAAAAATGGAATAAAAAATTTGCTCACAAATTAGAAGGACCTACAACCTTAAGTGTGTTGCATGATAAAATATTAAAAGAGAATATAGATCAATGTAATAGAAATTTTTCAAACAATAATATGAATTATCATGATAACAAAATGAATAGTAATTTAAGCAATATGAGAAACAATATTCTTCGCAATGCAAATTTTAATATGAATAATAATAACGCAAATTTTAATATGATGAATAATAATATGAATTTAAGAAATATAAGTGGAATTAAAAATTTAGACGGAAATAAAAATATTAAAAAGATGCCACTAAATTTGGGTAAAAATAAAAATAATACTTCTAAAATTATTCCTGATGATATGAAAAATGGAATAGATAACAATTATTTTGATATAATGTCAAAAAATCATATTCCATTTAAAAATCAACCATTCATAAATAATGATCATAGTGATATTAATAATAATAATAATATTTTTAGTAATTTGAATTCTAGAATATCAAATAATAAAGATAAGAATGATAAAATATTTATGAGAAATTATAACATTAAAAAAAATAATAACAATAATGATGATGTTAATAAAAGAAATACAGTGAATGAAAATAATAATGAAGATTTCAACGAACGAGGATTTAATAGAAATAATTTGAATGATGAGGAAAATAACAAAGTAACTACAACTGCTACTACATCTAACATTAATTCAACCTCTAGTAATGTAGCAAAGAAAATTACAAAAGATCATGTAAAAGATACTACAGAAGATTATACATTTGTTGAAGAATATTTACCAAAAGTAAATGAAATTCTAGAAATGTCTACTACTACTCAAGAGTGGGAAGAATTGACAAAAAAATTTGAAGATCTAAATATTCCCTCGAAATTTAATGACAAACTTCATACTAATATATTAAAACTTACCCTAAAGAAATATGCATGTAACAAAAATATAGAAAAAAGTTCTGATTTTTTTAATTGGTTAATTTCTATTGTACTCTCTAATAAAATTGATTTAGAATCATTTAAACCATGTTGGAAATCTTTTATGTTAGAAAAAGATGAAAATAGTTACGTATATACAAAAGAAGATTATCCTTTGTTACCAGATATAGCGAAAAATTTTATTAAGGCAATTGAGTTATATGATAAAAATCATTTATTATATGATGTAAACACTTTAGAGGAAATGAAAAATAATATTTAAAAATAAAATATATTAAAAGAGAATTTTTATTTATTTTTTTTTTTTTTCCTGAAAATATTACATATAATATTTTTATAGGATGATTCATCATATTTTTTTTTTATTATCATTTTCAATTTATTTTTTTTTTTCTTGAATCCATTATGATGATAATTGTTCAATAAAATGTAACTATTTAAAAATTTTATTTTTAACCTTACAGGATAAAAAAAATATTATATTCATATAAATATATCATAAAAATATATATATATATATATATATATATTTTTGAAATCACCATAATTTTTTCAAATAATATTATATTCATAAAATTAAATGTGTATTTCATACTTTCAGATACTACTAAATTAAAAAATAAGTAAAAAATAAATAAACATAAAAATATTTTTTCACTTTTTTTAGTATCCAATTTTATTTTTTGTAATATATTCTAGCTAAAATAAATTTATTTTGACTAGTATTAATATTTTTTCTCTAGTTTTTATCAAAAATTAACTAAAGTCATATAATTTTTTATAAAGTGCTTACTTCAAAGTAGCAATTAAATTTCTAATAGAATGAAAAAGTGAAGACTTTAAAAACAAAGGTGTACAATATTTGTTTTTATTTGAATTATTAAATAAAAATTCTAATAAAAAAAAATATTTTGTTAAAATTTGTAACAATATTAATGATGTTTATTATGATGCATATATATACATATATATATATATATATATAAATATATTTATGTAATAAATTATTTTTCAAATAATAAATATTAATTTAGATATATATATTGGAAAAATTTTGATGTAATATTTTATTTATTTCTTGTTGAGCTTTTGAAAGTGATGTTTTAGTTTCATCTGGAAAAATAAAAAGTTCCCTTTCAAATGATTTTTGTCCATATATCCATGAGCTACTTGCTTCTTTATAAAAAATTTTTTCAATTTTTACATCATCACTAATATCTTCAAATAATTTTTTTTTTAACTCTTGATTACAAATTAATTTTAATTTTTTTTTTTCAACTTTTTTTATGCCTTCTGTATCAAGTTCTATTTTTTTATTAATTTCCTTTGAATTGGTATTTTCTGCATATTCTGAATCGAGTTTTTCTTCATGTTTTAAATTTATATCTTCATTTTTTTTATTTTTTTCTTTTATTAATATGTTCATAATTTTATTTATTTCTGTTTTCTTTTCTTTTTGTATTTTTATGATTTCATCCTTTTCTTCTTTTTCATTTTCATGTGTGTTTACATTTCCATCTTTCTCCTTTTGATTTTCCGTAACAAGATCCTCATTTTGTAATTTTGAGTATTCTTTTTTTTCTAAGCTTTGTATTTTTGAATTCTGTTCTTGAATTTCTATTTTTTCGTTTATCTTATTATTATTTTCTTTATCTTTTTCTTCGTTATTTAAAGTTTTTTGAATACTATACTCAAAATTAAATAATTCATTTGACAAATTAGACTTTTTATTATCTTTTATATACTCACTTTTACTGAATTTAATATTATTATATTTTAATTCAGAATCTTTCAATAATGAATGAAAATCAGCTACAATAAAAAGTTCTTCATTACTTATTTTTTTGTTATTAGAAGAATATTTAATAGAATTGTTAGAATTATTGTAATAAAAAAATCGAACAGTGTCTTCTTCATTTGTATGTTTTTTAAAACTTTTTGATAAATTATCATTTAACTTTAATAAATTATAAATATTATTAGAACTTTCATTTGTACATTTATTTTGAACATCTATTAAAGTATCAAAGTCTTCATCCTTTATTGTGCTTCCTTTTATCAATAACATTAACAATATTCCTTTATAAATAAATACAACAAGCTTATATTTTTTTTCTCCTTTTAGTGTAATTATTGGCATGAATACAGATGATCTATTTTTTAAATAACCAATAAAATGGAAAAAAAAATTAATAAAAAAAAAATAAAGTTATTTAAAATAAAAAAAGTAAAATAAAAATGATAAAAATTACTTTTTAATTCCTAATAGAAAAGAATTTTTTTCATCTACTGAATTACATCTTCCAAAACTTGATAAGCCACCATTAGCCTTAAATGAAAAAATATTTAAAGATATTAAAAAAAAAAAAAAACATATAATAAAAAAATAGTTGATAATATTACATTTATAGCTGCTGATGATGCAATCTTTTTAAAAGGATACTGATTTAATTTTAAATTATTCACCTATAGAAAAAATAAATAAATAGAATAGAAAAATAAAAATAATGAAATATAAATTTGTTAATTTTATTATAAAATAAAAATTATTCTAACAATTCCATTATATGACACCAGATAATTATAAATAATTTTTATATCATCTAATGGCAAACTTGAATATATCAAGTAGCCTTCAAAGAATATACCACCATGTTTAATATGTTTATGTTCCAATATTAAAGACGAAATTAAATTCTAAATATTATAAAAATTTTGAAAAAAAAAAAAAAAAGAAATATAAAAATTATAATATATTACTATACATTTAAAAATTCAAAATTTTACCTGAACTGAAACATATGTATGTTTTTCAATTGGAAAAAAATAAAAACTTTGAAGCTCTAAAAATAATAGGAAGATTTTTTTAAAAGTTAAACTAATAAAATAAAAAGGTAAATTTCATTTACTGAAATATCTTATTTTGTAATTCTTTTTTTTTTTATTTTAAAATAATATATATTCTCTTATAATATTACCATTATGAATACTAATGTTTTCATTATTTATTGTATTTATAAAAGTAAATACATAATCATCCAATAAAGTTTGCAAAGCTTCTTTTTTTTTATTTTTACTTTCTAAAATAAAAAAAAAATAAAATAATATTATTACATTATTTAAAATGTTTTATTATTATAAAAAATACTATTTTAGGTAGTTTTAAAATAATTATATAACAATTTTGTATGGTCTACCTGTAGTTTTAAGCTTCTTATATTTTAAAAAATTACGAATATGACCATGTAGTAATGTAAATATTGAAATAAAATTATTTAAAATTGAATGTAATAATCTACACATTAATAATTCCATTTTATTATTTTTATAAATATTTTTTACAATAATAGTAACAAATATATGTTTATACCATTTATTTATAACAATTAAATTATTATTAGTTACAATATGATCTAAGTATGATTTACTAAACTGATTAACAAAAGTTGATATTCCTTCCATTGTACTAGTATGAGAAACTTTTATATTTTCCTCAGTTTCATTTGGATAATAATATATAACTTTTTCTGCCTTTAAAGCGAGAAATTAGGATATTATAAAATGAAGAAAAATATATATATATATATCATTGTTATATATATATAATCATTATTTACAAAAATTTCATGTAACCAAGTATATGAGTTAACGTATAATAAAATTACTTGCAATTGTTCATCAGTTATCGTTTTATCAGTTTTCTTTACATCTTCATCATAAATAAAAAAGGCTTCAACTTGTGTTTTATCCATGATAAAAAAATGATTTTTACAAAAAAAGATAATTTAAAATAAAAAAAATATTCAATAACTTTATCGTGTTTTATTTTATTTATTTATTTTTTTAAAGTATATTTATCTTAATATATTCATAATGTTAAATTCTTTTATCATTTTTCTCTCATCTGCTTATTTAATTTTTTTTTTTTTTTTTCCATTAGGCATTTTTTTTATTAATAAGAAACATATTATTTTTTATCTTTTTTTTATATATTATATATACATAAAAATATTTTTAAATATGTTAAATTTAAATATGAATAAAATTAATTTTAATTATTAAAGTTATTAAGAATATTTTGAATGTTTTTTTTTTTTTTTTTTTTTTTTTTTTA